TTGTTACATTGTGTGTTAATGTGTTACTAGTAGAAGGTACAACTGTTGTGTCATTTGGTGAAGGTGTAGTTATGTTGTGTGTTAAAGTGTCATTGGGTAACAATGTATGTGCAGTTATGTTGTGATTTGTTGTGTTACTGCGTGAAGGCATAGGTGTAGTTACATTGTGTGTTGATGTGTCATTGGGAAAAGTTGTAACTCTATTTGTGTTGTTTGTTGTGTTATTGGGTGAAGGTGTAAGTGTAGTTACATTGTGTGTTAAAGTCTCACTGGTTGAAGGTGCAACTGCAATTACATTTTGTGTTGTTGTGGTACTGGATGTAAAACTATTGGCTGTTGTTGTGTTGTTTGTTGATGTGTCGTTGAGTGAAGGTGTGGCTGTAGTTATATTGTATGTTGTGTTACTGGGTGAAGGTGTTGGTGTAGTTACATTGTGTGTTGATGTGTCATTTGGTGAAGGTGCAGTTATGTTGTGTGTTGAAGTGTCATTGGGAGAGGGTGTAGCTGTACTGACATTGTTTGTTGTTGTGTTGTATGGAGAAGGTGTAGTTACATTGTATGTTGTGTTATTGGGAGAAGATATAACCGTAGTTACATTGTGTGTTGTTGTGTCATGTGGTGAAGGTGTTGTTATGTTGTGTGTTGAAGTGTCATTGGGTGTAAATACATTGGCTGTAGTTGCACTGTTTGCTGTTGTGTCACTGGGTAAAGGTGTAAGGGTAGTTACATTGTAACGAGTTGTGCCATTGCGAGAAGGTGTAACTGTAGTTGCATTGTTCATTGTTGTGTCATTGGGAGAAGATGTAACTGTAGTAACATTAGCTGTAGTTACATTGTATGTCGTTGTGTCATTGAATAAAGGTGTATGTGTAGTTATATTATGATTTGTTGTGTTATTGGGTGAAGGCGTACGTGTAGTTACAGTGTGTGTTGTTGTGTCACTGGGAGATGGTGTAACTGTACTTCCATTGCGTCTTGTGTCATTTTGAGAAGGCGTGGCTGTCGTTACATTGCTTATTGTTGTGTCACCGAGAGAAGATGCAACTGTTGTTACATTTTGCTCTGTTGCTGTTTGCGCAGTAGCAGAAAGTGTGAATGTGTCTGCTGTTGTTGTGTTGTGTATAGTTGTGTGATTGGGAGACAGTGTTGAATCAGTCAGAGCACTTCTAGTGTTTAGTGATGTCAGGTTGCTGCCAGGAGTGGTGGTGGTGTCAGTGGGTGTCACTATCGTTGTGTTATCAGTTGTGTTTGTTGTGTCGATAGAGACAATCGTGTTTTGAGAGACTATTTGGAGGGCAGATTGTACTGCTAAAGACTGTGTACTGGTGATTGTCGCGGGTGCAGATGTGCTGTTCGGGTGTGCTGTTGCGTTTTCAGTTGTTTGCTCAGTGGTTGCAGGTGGTTGTGTAGCTGTAGGAGCTGCACTGGTGTTGTTGGTCAGAGTCGGAGGTTGTGTTGTGTTTGGATTTGCTGTGGAAGGTTCTGGAGAGCAGCTGTCAGTCAGAAAAACAGCAAAGGTCTCATTTGCCTCACTGTGGAAGAACAAACAAAAACAGTATTGTTTATTTACTTTCATATCTAATGCCTTGTTAAAGCTCAGCGGGAGGAGTATTTATTTTACTTCAGTAGCATATAGATTAAGTGACTTTCAAATAATTGTACCTAATAAGCCTATAAACCCTGTAAAATAAGTTATTTGAGGAAAATTTAACATCTTTCGCAAAAAAACAACTGATGGAAACACATTTAAAATGAAAGTTTTTCAGAAATGTTCTTCCAAAATGTTTTGTAGAGTTAGAAAACAGTCTCTGTCTGAAACCGAAATATATATATATATATAAACTGAAACCAGTTTATTTATTTATTTGTTTTTTTTAATAACTGGGGAAAAAAAGAGATTTGGGGCAACACTAATAAAACTATTTAGAGAAAATGGATATATTTAATACAAGATAGAAAATACGTTCCATTAATTAGTATGGATATGTATTCTGTTATATTGCTTTTTGAGGCCGAGGATCAATACTTAAGCTGTCAGTTTAAAATTGTTCCATTTGAAGCTATTTTATATTTCAAACTGACAAAATGTTTCGCCCCAGTGTGGCTACATAGCATTCGGTTAGCTTAGCTTAGCTTAGCTTAGCTTAGCTTAGCATAGCATCAAGAGTGGAAACAGCTGGCTTGGCTCTAGTCAAAAGCAAAAAAATCCACTGACCATCTGTTTTGTTTAATCTGTTTTAAAAAACAACAACAACAACAAAAACAAACAAACAACTGCGAAAACAAGAGTTATATTTTGTATCCATTTTCTAGTTTAACTCTCAAAAAAAAGAAAGTTTTTTCTAAAAACATCACACTATTCCCTTCATTTTCCCCCTCAAAGAAAAACCCACCTTCCCATATGCTGCTTACAGTGTTTGGTAACTCTGTCTCTCCTCGCCTTTCCCTCAGCCTGACTCATTTATTGGTTCACCATGTGCGTTCCTACATTTCCCACAATGACTGCAATATTTTTCTTTTATGTCTGTATTCCATCAAAACAACCACATTTCATTCTCTAACCACCAGAATGAGGCATGTTTTTTAAATACAGCGTTGCACAAACAGCGCTCAAGAAAAATATGACAGCATCAATTTTCCAAACGTAAGATCGCAGAAATGTTTCAAACATTCGTTACCATCTAAGCAGGGTGGGGTCTGCTTGGCAAACATCAGAGGTCAGCAGGTCTCTGGTAACCCAAGTCAGGTTGGACGCCAACAGAGAACGGACGGACGACCCAGCAGGACCGCACACCACTGAGGGGGCACAGAACTGTCAGTGGTGGTAATAAATAGTAAAGATGATAGGTTTTATTATAGGAAAAAAAAACATGCAGGCTTACTCAGACGAGAAAGGCGGCTTTCATTTGTGACAAATTGGGTTTCTTCAATTTTTCGTTGCACAAGTTGACTAAGGGAGCAACCGTTGACGGGTCCAGACATCTCCAGGATCACCAAGCAGTCGTATGACCTGGAAACCAGCAGCAAAATGGGTTGTTTATTAATAAATAGTGTATTAATACAGCTGTTCTGCATTCAAATGTTATAATTTTCTCTGTTTTCTGCACCACTGGGACTCTTCTTTCTAAGTTACAAATGCATCTGACAATATGTTTTTTAAAATCCGCAAACAAAATAGACAGTTAAACCTGTTTCCAACATTTTCAGAGATGCTTTTTGTTGTATGCACGCGTAATATGCAAAAAGAAAGAAACACATGTACCTCTGCGGCGTCCCACGACATTCCACGTGAGTTTCCTGGATAAACGAAATAATTAGCAAACAGCTCTCAGATCAGTTTACACGGTTATGGATTGATGCCAAACTGCTATCAGATAGCTTTACCTGGTAGCGCTGTAAAATCTCTGAATAATCCCTGCATCTGGAAACAAAGAATGGTTCATGTGTGTGAATTATTACCACCAAAACGTTGCACATTGAGTGTTGAGGTATTATTGGATGTTTCAACCAACATCTCATAGAGAATTTAAGCAGTAATTCAAAGTAAATACAAACTTACTCTGACGGTGTGGCACACTGATTGGCTGCAGCAGTGTTTAATAACTGTCAGAAAGGAGTAAACAGTGAGTGCACAGAATATACGTATTTAGGAGTATAGTTGAATCCCGATGTGTGGTACATACCAAGCTTCTGAGGGAGTTAATACTGACAGCATCAGTGGTGACGTTGATTCTTACACCATAAAACTGGCCTGAGATAAAGACGAAAAAGAAGTCAGGGGCAGCTTCTGAGACTAATGAATGTTTAGCTTTCTTGCAGAAATGATGATGTCTGTGCATTAAATAGGAAGCTAGAGCCAAGAGATGTTATCTTAAGGTGAGAAAAATTGTTAATCGTTGTTAATTAACTCCTAAAAGCTTGTCTCTATGTTCAGAAGTTTGAGGATTTTTTTCCTGTGAGAATAATCCTTCCCTCACTAATAGTTTAGACGTAACTCTACTCTATTGCAGGTTTGAAAGGCAAGCTATCTTGAAAAAAGAAATTGCCACAATTATACCTTTAATTAGAGCCAGAAACTGTAAAAACAGAAAGAATGACCCCATTTTCACTTTTCCGACAGTCCTTGACATTTGGGATTAGATTAGATTAGATTAGAGATTATATTTCGCTTTATTTTTCACCACCAATGGGGAATCTCACATTGATGTACCGTACTGTTTAAAAATTTAACCAAACTTCATCTTAAAATCTTGATATTTCATAAAAATCCCTTTCTGTCCATCTTTTTTTTAAATGTCAAAAATAAATCAATTGCATTAACAAGTTTATGTAAAAAACAAAAAGTTCTCAGATTCTTGTCACAACTGTAAAACTATTAGTGACTCAGCTGTGACCAACAGTCATATGGTAAAAAAAAAAAAAGTTCACTGCCTTGTTTTGACTAAATTGCCCGGCTGTACCCACAGAGGATAGGCAATAAATTTAAATTGTAATGAAATACTAATCTATAGCATGTGGAGTTGTTTTTTTTGTCCTTGTGCTAATTCCATGTTTTTCCTTTTTTGTAAAATATATTAAATTCTTTTTATATGATTTATTGTTATTCTGCACAAAGGACATTTTTTAACTTTGGTTCTGGTTGTTTTGTTTCCATAGAAGTGCAAGTCTTTATACAGCAGCGAAAAATAAGCTCATAACAAGTAAAAACATGACAGGATCCCCCTCAGAGACTGCTGCTTCTCCCGCACACACTGACGCTCACTTGTTACTGACGGCAACAGCATCATCTGACAATAATAAGACAATAATCCGGCTTTTGTTCTTACTTGTAGAATTGCAGAAAGCGGTGCAATCGCAGAGGCTGGACGCTCCGCCTGCAGCACAGACAGACATGGTTGAAGCAGCAGAAGCCGCAGTAAACAGCAATAGATGTGAAGGCTCTCTGTGTTTGTGATACTCACTGCTGCAGGAGTTTGTGTTTGGCCGTGCAGCTCGCTGGGAGTTGAGCTCTATGAGGGAGCTGGAGAATAAACACTGATAAGAAACAGAGATATACATCCAGCGTACAAACAAAGGAAGACGCAGCTCACCATGTAAGCTCTGACAGGTTGTTCGACCGACAGACATCATCCAGAGAAGACGTGGACGTGCACCTCAGGAACCCGCCGCTAGAGGGCTCCACGTCCTCACACAGACGTCGACCTGACGTGGACGAAATCAAATGAAAAGTGTGTGAATGTTTGCACTGGATTTGAGCAGGTTAGTGTTGAAATCTTTTACTCACATCGATACTAATCACAGCAGATTTTATGAGCTCGTAAAACTTTAAAGCGATTCTGACTTCGAGCTGTGTTGCTGCAGCTCATTCCAGTGATAACCTGCAGAAACCAGTCTGTCCCAGTTCAGAGTTGGCATGAGAGACGTTGAAGTCAGCCTCTGCTGTGATCCACCGTCACGGTTATTAACTCAGCTTGTTAAATATCTACAACGCTTAGGCGCAAAAATGTCGGTGGTGATCATCCAAGCGTTTTATATACGTCACAGTGGAGGCGTGTGTCTGTGATAATGAAATGACTGGCGCTGCGACGGGGAACGTTCCCACAACATTGGGTAACGTTACCTACAAACTCTGGAAATTACATTTTAAAAATCTATTTTAATCGAATATTCAAAGAATGTTTCCATTTAAAGTAATATTTCTGTGAAGTTAATGTAACGTTGTCAGGACGTGGTCAGGAACACTGGTGATGTTCCACAAGAACAAAGAAGGAATGTTCTCAAACCAACATTTAAAAAATGTTTTTGAGGCCTCAGATGATTTTTCATAAGACGTTTTCATAACCTCACACAATAACGAAGGTGGAACGTTTTGGCTGCAATGCGTTGAGGATGTTTCGGGCATGTTGCTGAGGGAACACACACAAAACATTCTCACAATGTTCTGTGATATAAAAGAAAAATTATTGAATTTATTGAATTTCCCTTCTGGGATAAATAAAATATTTTTCATTTTTCATTTTCATTTCATTTCATTTCAAAAAAGCCAACATTCGAAAAATGTTTTCTAGATGTTATCGAAGCCTCAGATGGCAGAAAATAGAATACTTTGGCTTTTGTTGTTTGTTTTTTTAAAGGGTAACACATTCTAGAACGTTCTTCTATGAAACATTCTCACAACAGAACAAAGAAAGAACGTCCTCAAACCAACATTCAACACATGTTTTCCAGACGTTATGGAGGCCTCGGATGACGGAACGTTTTCTGTAATGTAATAAATTCAAGTAAAAACATGTTGCCTTTTTGTTTTGTAAAACGTTCTTATGTGATACGTTTCTGCAATAATAACAAAAAAAAAGGATGTTCTCAGTGCAACATTCAAAAAACATTTAGGATGTTATAGAAACGTCAGATGACAAATCGTCTTTTATAAGACGATCCTGTAAAGTGATATATTGACAACATTGTGGCTGCAGCGTTCTGAGGATGTTTTGCAGATGGATGGATGTATTTGGGGAACATTTATAGAACATCTTTGGTCATCCCACCTCCAAGAAAGACATTCTAGGAACTAAAAGAAAACCTCCTTCTGAAAATATCAGTAGAATTTAAGGGAACTTTCTCAGTTCTGAACTGATGAAGCCTCTTGGATGAGAGGTGAAACGTCTTCAAGGAACTCAAGCAAGTCCACGATTAATCCACAAGAGTAACCATGACCTGGATGACTGGGAAGCTTCACAGACAACTTCAGGGAAATTTCTCAGAACGTGTTTGGAACCAAAAACCAATCCAGTGGTTTAAGTAGCAGCAGCATGAGAATAAACAGTATCTGCACCACTAAAAGCACATAGCATGATCAACTGTACACTACTTTTTCTTTTTTTTTCCAAGGACAAACCAGGAGATTGTGGATATTTGTAGAAGACGTTCTGCCACTTTCTCATATTGAGGTAAAAATGTGGATTTTAGGGTCAAAGTTACTGTGCTGAGTGATGTTTCTT